AAGGATTGAGCGGGTCAAAAAAATACCAGAAAAAATGAGTGTAGCCAAAAAGTGATGAGTTTCCGAGGGACCAAAGAATATGGGATGACGGCTAAAAAATGGTGAAGAAACATGTGCTAGACCTAAAAGGTTGGAGGTGATTGTACGGAGAGATCAAAGAATGAGAGGATTGGAAAGAAAGAGAAAATGGAATAATATATGAGGTTTGCGAGTGAAAGACTATTTTTTATTGATCAGAAGGATCCTGTCCTAGGTGATTTTATTTTTACCAGGCTCAAAGTGAGCCGGCTACTACCATGGGTAGGAGACCTGAAGGGCCACCAGGCACGTAATGCGCCGGCTTCTGCTTTGCGCAGGAAAGTCAGAAGGACTTGAAATTTTGAATACTGCTCTGTGCTATTGCACTTACTTTTACTCCGGATTCACATGAATCGGCTTCTCCGGTAGGAGGATTTGATACAAACGTGAATTTAGTTAGAGATGTCTTGAAATTTTCCTGGGTGAATTTAGATAGGACTGCCAAAAGTGGAATATTAAAGTTGATTTTGTGATGACCCTGAGAGATTAGCCGCTCCGATCGCTATAGATGGGTTGATTCAGCTTGCTCGCCAAATTCGCTCCTTGACCTTGCTCGAGGAACTTGATTCTTGTCTTGGGTTCGGGTTTCCTTTCTGGCTGCTGCTTGAACTTGGTTGAGTCTTGGTTTCCTGGGTCTTGATTAGCTTGCTTCGCTGCTTGGCTTGATCTGGAGACTGGGTGTTGATCGGACGGCGCATCACTTAGAAGTGAATTCATGGTGCGCAGCGTCCCAGTATTTGTACCGGTCGCGTGAGAGAGCGTTGCCGCGAGCTTGGCTGTGATTGGTCGACGCGCGCGCGGTGTGAGAAATTGGCGGGAGTACCGCTAGCGAGTTTGAACTTCGCGGGAGCACCGCTAGGCGAGTTTGAACTTGGCGGGCGCTGTGGAGACTAAGTTTTGAACGTTTTGAATTGCGCGCCCGCGCGCGGCTCGTGATTGGTGCGCTGCCTCGCGTTCATTCTGAGGCTGGGGCCAATGGAATTCAGCGGAGCTTTTTGCTCCCGGATTCATCGCTGTGATTGGATTTCTAATGATTATTAATTTTGTTCGTCACTGTGATTGGATTTCTAATGATTATTATTTTGTAGGTGAAACCGAACAGATGTCTTTGAACCTCCCTTCTCTCAATCTAAGTTCACACAATCCAACCAATTGTAATTAGGGCCACCTCTGCTACCGCGCTAAGCAAGTAAATCCATCAAGATTTTCCCTCGTTTTTTGGAAATTGATACTTTATAAAATAAAAACTGTTTTGCCCATGGACCTCAAATTTTTAGGTTAAGTTTTTGATAGTATTTGCAAAAAAATTCTATAAAAACATTGTCCTAAGGTACACAAGATTTTCTGCTATGAAATACTATTTCCAAAAAATGTGAAATGGCGTTTACGGTGTTTTTGCGTCGCACGGCAGTATGGGTATGAGCTGTTTAAGGGTCGACCATCAATGTGACCCTTAATCCTAACCAAACCGTAAGCGACTGGGAGTCCACTTACTCTTCAGAACGCTCCCTCCGAGCGATGGAGCGATTGGAAGACCTGGGGTTACGAGAGCGGTCTCTGAAATCCCTGCCTGCCGACGGCCGACGTTACGCCCTCAATAAAACTTTCATCTTCTTTTCATCGTCAAAACTACGTATCTCGACGCCGGCCGCCGCCGCGTTATTAGAAAACCCGACGCTCCGCTCTTCGTCAAGGTGCTCGCTGAGATCGTCTTCTCCTTCTCAGAGTCCGTCGTCTCTCTGACGTAAAAGCATATCTCAATTTCCACGAGAGCCCTGTTTTGCATATTGACCCATGCTTTCTGAGGCCCATGCGGAGGTATGCCCTCACGTCAGTGGAGTGCGGAGTTGACCCGGTTTCAAGCATGAACCCATATCGTCTGTGTTTAAAATCCTACGAGCAGTGGTCTGCGGGCTGATAGTTGAATTTGATAGACGAGGCAATAGACAAAGATGGCAAAAAAGATATGGAGGGATCTTATTGGTGGAAGCGTGTGGTTGCGATGGACCAAGGAGATAGGTAATAGACTAATTGGATTGCATTTTGCAAAAGGAACCAAGAGCATTCCAATGTTGCTGGATTTGGCAACTTATATTCCTTGCAATAAAATTACTGAAAACATGCAAAAAATCGAATAAACTATTGTAATTTTCGTATCGAATTTATAGTTTAGTGGCAGTAAAAATAAAACCTGTTTTGAAGATTAGTTTTTATTTGCAAGGTAAAAAAAGTTGCACAATCTTAGCAACATTGGAATGCTTGTGATTCCTTTTTGCAAAATACAATCCAATTAACGGCAACCTACAAGAGACCCTGTGGTCAGTGCATTATTTCCTTCCTTAGTTCATAGCAACCAACCATTTTAACCAATAGGATCGCTCCGAAGCTATGAATATTTTTCTCGAAATTTTCAGGAGCTTTAGGTGAAATCGTAAACAATATTATATGACAAATTGGAATAAAAATATTCATAAGTTTATCAGGAAATTCGTGTTTTATCAACCGAAATTTGGCAACGCCTGGGGGCTCATACGGCGTTTTTCCTCAGCACGGCAGAACAGTCCGACTCCATTGCACTCGCGCCTACCACGTTTATTCCCATAAAATATAGCCCCCACAAGCCACCACCCCCGTGCCCCCGATAAAGTCCCCATCCCCCTTTCCCTTTCCCTGTCCCCCCGTGCCCCTGTCCTCCCGCGCTTCCATCCCTCCCCCCCTCCGCCTATCGCGCCACTTCAACGGCAAATCGGGACTCGTTTTCGACATGTATAATTAAAACAAACCATGTCACCGGCCCCCGCTCCGCTATACAATTACACTTCTCGCCTTTCAACGAAATTAGTTTTCGCCGACGAAGATCAAGATAGATTTGTCCGGGCCCGACTTCGGTCGCAACCGAGGACCGCGTTGCCAAACCGTCCAGGCTAATATATAATAATAAAACTGGCAGGCAATAACCGCGTATCTGCGCATAGGGTTTCGATGGTGGTTACGCGGTTGTTTTTTGAAAAGGTGGATTTCGGGTGCGATGTGGCAGCGGCGGATGAGTCGGACGGCGCGAGCCCCGGCGAGCAAACAAAGTCGCCCGATTCCGAATTCCGGCGGGTTGTCGCGCTGGAATTGGGATCAGATGAACCGGAAAGAAAATTGGGGAGATGGTGCCGTCGTTATACTTTTGCGCTGCCGCGTTGAGGGAGAACGACGTATGAGCCATCAGGCGTTGCCAAATTTCCGCTATCAAAGTACGAATTTTCTGGGAAATCTATGAATGCTTTTCCTATAAATTTTCAGGGAATTTCATTCGCAGTCTAATTAAATTATCGAAAGATTTCTGAAGAAAATACCCGTAACTGGACCGCGTTTAGCAGAAAGGAACCAAGCCACATCAGCTGTTGCCAAATTTAATTGAGCAGTTTAATTTTTTATCAGAGAACGTTTGTGCGGATTTCTTTGAAAATGTTAAGGAATTTTCTTCACACTATGCAAAAAATTCTTTGAAATCTGCACAAAAATTCGCACAACCGGTATCATGTACAAAATCAAATTGCCCAATTAAACATGGCGATAGCTGATGTCGGTTGGTTCTTTTCTGCTTAACGCGGTCCAATTCTCCTTAAACCGAAAACGGAAACGTAGTCACCTCTTCTTACCTCTTTGGATCTTTCTGTGAACACCCATTCAGAGCTACACTGGAAAAAAAAAAACACATTGGATCTAGAGTCCAGACTCTTAAAAACAGTGCTCTGTGTAAAAGTGCTTTGGGAATCATTAAATTTGACACGGAACCACCAATATTTAAAAAACACATTATATTATTATCCTCCTTTGATAAATTGATACATATTTTTTTCCCATCAATTTAAGTGATAATAATCAATGCAGATTGTGCTAACATTTCAAAATCATGAGTTTAAAAACGCTGACAATGCGAGTATAAATATTAAAGCCTGACAGAGCGGAGCGGCGTGCTGCCAGCGCGAGAGGCTCACTGGCGCCTACAAACCTAAGTGGATACTTCACGCATTGCACAATGCTTGAAGTATCCACTTAGGTTTGTAGGCGCCAATGCGTGTTTCGCGCTGGCCGGCCGCCCGCCGTGCGGCGGCGCCTGAAGCGTCTATATCATAACAGAGGTGTTGCACAGTATTATACAAAATTGAACGTATTAAGAATGACAGGCATCCTTTAAAAGTACAGATCTTTCCTCGCAAAATAAATCAAGATACTTATCGCACACAGGAAAAATCGAAGAGCCTTTAGTTGAGGCAAATATAGAGGTTTATCCGGTTCATGTATAACAAGGTGGGAATTTCTTGAAAGATAATTAGGTCCTGTTACATCAAAGAGGTGTAGAGTGTTTTTAGTGAATTTTGTCTCATGGAATTGACGCTCCCCCATTTTTACCAAAACTCTCAACTATATATTATTCTCCGTTGAACCAAACAGACAAAAAAAAACAAGCAAATCCTCATTCTTCCAAGAAATTATATATTTTCATTCAAAAACGTCGTGAGCAATTGTCGTTTGTATTTACATGTGGGCCAATTAACTTTGGGTCTCAACTGGCACGTGGACCAAAACTCCCGTGCCGAAAAAAGCGTGGACGTAAATTACTGGAAAAAACAGGAGCGCGGACAAAAAATCGTTGACGAAATGTCCTATAACCCACCCAAATATATCTGTACTTTTCCTTCAAAAATAGCCGTGGTATTCTGTACGCCCTCGTGGTACTTCAATCGGACGTATTTCTGCCAAACGGCACTGTGTGCATTATGACGTGAGCCCTGTTATGCATGTATTCTGATGGGTATCAGGGCTCATGTCTCAATGCAGGTAGTTCCGTTTGGCAGAAATACGTCCAATTGGATGTTAGGTAGAGTTACCGCTGGTTAATAACCCTTCACTTTTTTGTTTTGTTTCAGGCGGTGACTCGCAAGATGTGCACCGGTTTGCGGGCAACGAGACACATCCAGATTTCTTTAGGCTCATAGTCCGAGATGGAAACTCAATATTAGTCGGTGGAAGGTAAGTCTTATTCTATGAATCATTTACCCATTTCAAATTAACCTGTGTAGTGTGTAGCATCGAACACATCGAGCAACCAGATACAAATATTTCATAAACGTAATCTTTGTGATGTTAAAGGAAGCTATTCATATGAACAGCTGCATTGTTCCTCCCCATATTCGTAATTATTATAATTTCGGCCTGTTTTCAGAAACGACATGCTCAGTTTCTTGTTGCCACATATAAATTACTACTGAATTATTGTTGGCGAATGGAGATGTTGCATGTGTGAGGAATTTGCGATTTGACTTTATTGATTCTTGTGTAAAAGTTCGCGAGAAACACGACGGCGCCACTGGTTTTCTCTGAAATCAACTCCCAAGCTCAAAAAGAGCTCTCAAGTTGAGGCCAAAATGGAGGGGATATCCCACGCTATCCTGAGAGTCTACCTCTACATCAAGACTCTCTATGCAAAAGATAGGGAGCAAATACTTTAGCAGGGATGCCGTGTTTTCAGTCTTAGAGTCCCCAAATAAAGTGGCAGCCCTGTCAATGTATTTGCTCCCTATCTTTGCATGGAGAGTTTGTCTTGATGTAGAGGTGGACTCTCAGGATAGCGTGGGATATCCTCTCCATTTTGGCTTCAACCTGAGAGCTTTTTTTGAGCTTGGGAGTTGATTTCAGAGAAAGCCAGTAGCACCATCGTGTTTCTCGCGAACTTTTACATCAGAATCAGTAGTCAAATCGCTAATTCCTCACACATGCAACATCTCCATTTTAATAATCGGCCGCCTTGACGAATGGAAAAACGGACACCATACCAGAGCTCTCCGCCTTGGAAAAATATGGCAATGCAGTTCTACATCCATTCCAGCCAGAGAAACCAGTGGCATCATCGTGTTTCTCTCGAACTTTTATGTAAGAATCTAGTCAAATCGCAAATTCCTCACACATGCAACATCTCCATTGTGACCGTCGATGCGATAGTTTCTCAATCAACAATTTGAAGCCATTGGTTCCTCCTTGGAAAAATCATTTCCCCTCATTTGAGACGCATATTTTGGAGGTTTCAGTTGATTTCAGAGAAAAGTAGTGACATCATCGTGTTTCTCGCGAACTTTTATATGAGAATCTACAGTCAAATCGCAAATTCCTCACACATGCAACATCCCCATTCCTGGCAAAATTCCCAAGAATCAGGCATTTTGTCCGATCGTTTGCCGCTGCTTTTCGCGCGGCGTTATCAGCGCCAAACCGTCGAGCGCAGCGTTTCCGTTGAGTGGGAGTCTCGAGAAAAGATGAGCGCGTTTCTTTGCTCGGTTCAAAGCTGTCTCAGACTGAGGAGGAGATCGTGCCGGATAAAGCCCTCTCCGTGTAATGAACTGCCTATGGAAATCAAGACAGCATCTTCCCCGGGATCTTTCTCAACCGACTCATGATCCTACGACGCACAGTTTGCTGGCGGTGGCAGATCGGCTGTAGAGTCGGTTATTCCCAGAGTTCAGACATGCTGAATTCATTTCTAATTAGCTCATGTGTTCCCTACGGACTCATAATGAATTATCGAAGATAAAAATTGACCTGGTGTACGCTGGTTTCATCTATCATCTGAGATCGTGTAAAAAACAACTGCTGGTTTGAATAAAACACGAATGTTGCTGGTTACCAGACCACCTTCATATGCTTAATGGACCACTAGACAAGGTACGAATTTCAGCATTCTGATTCATGTTCCTGAACCAAAATTTCACGTGAAATACGATGCGCACAACGAAAATTATCGAAATTAACTTCTTACGAAGATAATTAATGATTCTTGATGCGTGAATTTAAACCACCCGCTCATGAAAACTCAATGCTCTACGTGATTCACATCGAGCACTAAACGTTATCATGACAGTCTCTGCGATATGAAAATCTGGCAACCTCAATCTTGACGCTTTGGCTTAGCTATTGCAAATTGCTCATAGTTTGAACAACACATGGTGGGAAATGAACATTGCTCGTTTGAGAAGCTTGCTGAAACCGTTGTAATGCGAGATTTGACTCACGTAGAGCTTTGAGTTTCTTGTGAGCGGGCAGTTCAAATTCTTCGTAACCAATGTGAAATAAAAACGTTTATATCTTCATAAGGAGTTGATTCCAGTAATTTTCGTTGCGTGAATCGTGTTCTGAGTGAAATTCTGGTTATGAAACTAGTATCAGATTGCTTAAATTCGTACCTTGTCTAGTGGTCCATTCTCAGGAAATCTAACACGGAAAACAGCCGTGTGTATCTAGGGCTTAAGATTTTGTAGGGTTTTGAAATACTTCTTTTTGCGATTTTAAGCCTTTTCTCGTGGCACAGTGCGGCGACGTCATCAGTATTCCGTGCAGCCGAGCGCATGCATTAAACCGCAAGGAGAAAAGAAACCAGTCGATCCAGAATCAAAGTCGACGGAGGCCCGACTTTTCCTCCTTTTCTTTCTCTCGCGCTGTGCAGACGCAACTGGGAACGAGTCGAGGAGTGACGGGCTAAGGAAAAGCGACTTATGAACTTTCGAATGTTGCCAAATTGTCTACGTACAACTTTTAATTGAACGGAGAATTTGAAAAAGAGTTTAGCGCAGGGTGTCTACAAGCCCGGAATTTCCGGAAATAGTACTGTTTTTTTAAAGGCGGTCTGGACGTACCGAAAAAGTACGGAATTACACGAGAAGGTCCGGAATTTTTGTCGTTTCTGTCGCAGTTTGAGCAAGAAATTTAACTTTTTGCAATTTTTCGAATTTCGTTAATTGGGAGCACTGAGAAAGTACTGAATTTCTTGGGAATGTACTGAAAAATTCCTGTAGAAGTACTGAATTTTGGCCAGCCTGTTTTGGTAGACACCCTGTACCGCCCAAAGTCAAGTTTTGAAAAAAACATGAAAAATACTCATTTCTTTCAACAATTCTTCATATTATTGTTCGAAAATATTAGCCGATATTCTCCTTATCATCTGGAATGAATCACGGTCATAGAAGCAGGGTTGAACAACTTGAGCAAGAAATAAAAACATTAGAAATGTTGATGGATACGCTCTTTTCCCACGCAACCGCTTAGTCCTGTCATTTTTAGAAGTATTTTGGCTGTCAAAAAATACGCGTGTCCAACGACAATAAAATAATCATAGTATGTGCCCCTATTGACCCTACTCATGACTTTTAGCATTAGAGCGCATACTGCGTTTGAAGACATGGCTTTTAACTTACGCTCTTTTATCACTGAAGCGGGTTTTCAAAAGTTAAAAAGATATGCTTAAAGAGCAGTTAGTCAGAATCGCTCCTTTGTTAGTTGCGTCCACCCTCAAAGAAAATGATTCCATCGAGCACTCAATTTCTAAAAATTTGGTGGTTATGACTTTCTCCAAATAACCCGTCCAAGTTGCGGACATTTTTAATTGAAAATTTCAAGATCACTAGATTACACGGCATGGATAATATTCTAACACAAAAATTCAAGAAAAATTACACCCCCAAGTTCACAGAATATTCGTATTTTATCAGAGGAAATTCGGCAGCGCCTGGAGGTTCTTACGGCGTTTTCCGCACTCCGGACGAAGAGTGACGGGCGAGGTTGCGGAGGCCGCGAAAATGGAAAATTTGAGGTTGTCTGTTTTGCAGAAAATGAGTCGAGGAAGAAAAAAAAGGAATGAGATCTTTCACGAGAATGGATGTTAAGATGAGATTAAAGTCGGGGGTTCGGAGGAGACGTGTTGTGAATAAATCAACCCCCCCTCGGCCCCCCGCCACCCCCCTCCGCGACTATCGCCGATTTGCGCCGGTGGGTCCTCCGCTTCAGCTGCAAGGCTCTTGTTTGTTGTTATCCTTTTTGTTTTTCCCCGGTGTTTTCCTTCCCGCCCGGCTCCTTTTTTTCCGCCGTTTTTTATGCGCTTTCTTCCGTTCGTCACATCTGCTGCGCCATGCAGGACACCGCTGCCAAATCTCCGATTAAAATCCGAATTCCCCCGAGCCCAAAAACCGTATTCTTTCGTCGGTTTAGCAACCGGAGTCCACGGTAACATATTGGGAACTCGTGATTACGGTCTAGTGTGCGGAGTCAGCGCCTCGGTGTGCCAAGGGGAGGGGGTGGGGGAGGGGGCGCGGGGGAGGCCCCCGTAGTTAAAATAAAATTTAAATGAATTTCCGGGAGTGACACCGTAAGACGGCGCGGCGCCCCGGAGAAACGTGCCGTAATGTAAACACGATTCGCCGCGGTTGCCGCGTCGTGCGGGAAATCGAGGGTTCCTCGGGTTGAATTAGGGGTTTTCGGGGGCGATCTGGCGACGCGGCGTAAACACGCTTCCATAAATCAGGGGCGTTCGGGAGGGCGCCGTGCGCATTTGTGTGTTCTGCGGAATATTGGCACTGGTGTCCGTCCGTGCCAGCCCCCTCGGCTCTTCTGCCTCATCGAGAAGCTCGTAACGCCGGGTGAAGTCTTCGGGATATCAGTGGGTTTTGCTTTGCTTGAAAGTGGCGTCAAGTTTCTAGGGTTTAAAATATTTTGCGTAGGGGCGTTTCGTTAGAAAGTCGGCGTACGATTAATCATTTTTGCTCGTATCAGGAATCGTCGCTTTTCTCGATGAAGGCTCTGTCCTGAACGTCCTGAACAAATTCATGAGATTCAACGACAAAAATATGACCCTTCATTTCACGGTGCGTCACTTACCTACTGCGAAGAAAAATAAAAAAAAAAGGTCAGAGTTAGGTGGGTCAAAATCAGCCGGATCGTTGGTGCAGAAGACCAATTTTCTTTTCAGTGTTGTTTTTAATGGTTCATTCATGAGATTTTACGACAAGAATACGATTGTCGACCGTGTGAGACTTACCTACTTTTATCAGGGTGTCTAAAGTCTGGAGTTTCCGGAAAGTCCGGAAATAGTACTGTACTTTTTTACTAGTACTTTTTTAAGAGCGGTCCGGAGATACTGAGAAAGTGCGGAAATTTCACAAGAAGGTCCAGAAGGAATTTTTTCTTTTTTTTGTCCTTTTTGTCGCAAT